TATATATATATAATAGTCTGATTATATTAGGCACAAATTTTGCAGTATAGTATAGAACAGTCAATAGCTGTCCAGAGCATTTGGTCAATTTTCATGTTCTTAAGTTCAGAGAAATCTTAACCTGGAGTCTATTTTCTGATATCATGGGTGACTCCAATAAACAAATTTATTATTTCTTAGAAAAATCACTTGAAAAATGACATGGCCTATAGATAGGAGGGTAGCCAGTTTGAAAAGGGCCAAGAGGAAATTGAGGAGAGGGATTGGTCAGAAAAGTCATGAGAATGGATTTTCAAGAAGGAGAGCATAGTTAATGAAGAGTTGTAGTAAAACAAGGACAGCAGGTTTGTTATCTTTGGCATTAAATAGACGATCCATGCTTTACTAAGCAAGGAGACAGATTGTAGTATGTGGAAAGGCACATTGATGAGCATTACCCAAAAGCTTTACCAATTGAAAAACATATGGGACTCTAAAGACTAAAAATAAAATGTACTAGGCATTCATGTTATGAAATTTGAAAGAGAACAATAAAATGAATAGTGACAGGATAGAGGGAATGAAATTTTTATGATAAATTAGTAGGAAAGAAAAGAAAACTGATGATCAAGAAAATTGACTTAATTGACAACCTCTGACAACCCTTTATCCAAAGGAAAAAAAAAATTAATCACATCATAAGTAGAGATTATCAGAGATGAAGATTAAAACTTGTTGGTTTTAATCTTAATTTTGAGATACCATATTTACCTTGTGTCAAAATTTTCTGAAGAAATTAACAAAAGTATGATTTTAAGACTATAATGAAAAATGATTCAAAAGAAGTAGGAAACTTCATTATACCTAGAGGCAAAAGAAAAATTAGTTAAGAAACATGCTGTTAGAGCTAGTAAAGATTGTATAGATAACTTGATTCGCATCTGCAAAGAACCAATTATTCTCCAGAATGAAGAATATGGAAACATTCCCAATACCGTTTATGAGGTATAATACTAAGACAGAAGCACGAAAGATAGTACAAAAGTAAAAAACAGAAATCAGTCACTTTTTAAATTTTCTTTAAAAAAGAAAAAAGTAATATGAAATATTTTTAAGTGAAATTCAACATTATATTAAAATCAAGTGCAAGTTATTCCTAGAATAGAAGAATGTTTCTAGAAAATATAAGAATGTACTAGAAAATACATTAAATATTTCTGTCTTAACTAAGAAAAATTTTATGTTATCATGATATTTGATCAACTTGTTGGTGGGAAAATTTTTAGTGGATAATAAATTAAAGAATACTTCCAGAGTCCTATAGAGTCCTATAGAGATCAATAATACTAAAAGACTATAATTAAGATAGAAGTATTAGAAATATACTCCAAGAAAAAATAAAAAGAATGCTTGCTAATAATTTACCAATACTACTTTTAAATAATAGCAAGACTAGATCAAGAAATAAGAGAAATAAATATTTCAAAGTACTAGACATTTATAGATTCTGTGGTTGTAACTGCTTGGGAAAAAAAAATCCAAGAGAATTAACAGAAAAGCTATGGAACTAAAAAATTGTTTTAGAAAGGAAGTTGTGTCTATACTTTGTAAAAATATGCTTATAGAAAATGGCAGCATAGGAAGCATCAGAAATCTGCCTCCTTATCTAGGCAGTTGCCCTTGCAGAATCTTCCTAGTGTAACTGGAACTCGAGTCTATTGAATACTTGTTATTTCCAGGAGAATGTTTGGAGACAAGTGATGCTTAATTTCAGTTATTTTTAACTCTTACTTAGCACAGTAGGAACTACCCATCTTCCCATCCACAGCTCCAGCTGTGCACTTGTTCCTGAAGCATCTTGTACAGGGCTTATGGAGCTAGGGTGGACAGAAAGGACACTGTCCTCCAAACCTCAGAGGTATCTGTGTTTTGATTGCTAATTGTTGCTTCTGATTATAGAGGTTAAAGAGGGGTTGGCCATTAGTAGCCCCTGCCATTGTGCAAGCACCACCCTCTCTGACTAAGGTGCCCTTGTGGGCATTTCAACCAACACACCTTTTTTTTTTTTCCAGATCCATAACCTGTATTTTACATTATGTAGTTCAGATTATACAGAATCACAGTGTCACATCATTTTACCTGCATTCATGTCACTATATAGGCCATTTATTTACAGCAGTCCCTCAAAATCTAGTTTTTGTTTTTAGTTTTGGCCTAATGAGACAAATGAGATGGATTCTCATGTCTCACTTGTGTCACACCTTCCAGCCTCTCCTCCCCACACTCAGTATCTTCATCTGCATGACATGGGAGATTGACTGTTTTTTTCTCTGATTCTTAGACACCACCCAAACCATTTTCAATATCCGTATTTTTAAATGAAAAGCTAGATTGCGGTTTCCAAATATAACACATAATCACCATCATTTTCTTCCATAATGAATAATATACCCTCGTTGAAATACTATATTCAATATTTCATTAAAGGTATATCAAGGTCCTACCAAAGTGAGCCGCTCACAGCAATATCTAGCCTCTGCTAACAAAATGAAGCTATTTTCACTTTTAAATTGTAGTCAACCAACACACTTTTTTACCCTTCTGTATTTTTTCTCTTTTCCTGTCGGAGACCAGCTCCAACTATTGAGGTGTCTGGAGGCAAGACAGGCAGGACCCTAAGGTAGGAAGGTGTCCGCGAGTGGAGATTCCTAAAAAAAGGGGAGAAGGAGAAAAAAGGGAAAGGGGGACGAGGAAGACACGGGAGTCAGAGTTGGGTGCAAGTCTTCCTGCTCTGCCTTCAGCAGAGGTTTATTTTATACATTAGGAGCAAGCAGTGGGATGACATCAGCACACGAACTGGGCTGAGAGATTACAATCATGTTTTTTTTCTAAGAACAGTTTAGGGTCGTATTGCCCTTTAGCTGAGATATAACATTCCAAAATCAATCAAGGTTAAAAACAGGTATATAGGTGTACAGAGTTTATGACTAATATTACAATAGTGGAGCTCAACTAAACCTTATCTACTACTTAATGGGTTTTTGTTTTTCTGCCTGAGTCATCTTGGGAGACAGAAGAGGAAATTCCTTGTTAATCAAATCTCTGAATAGGAGACATAGGTGAATTTCCTTATCTAAAGACTACATAGTAGAATCCTGAAAAACTAGCCGAAGACTTTTGTGGATTCCTTTAAGGTGTAGCAGGTGGAAAACTTGACTAGGTTCAAAACAGGCAACCTGGATGAATTTCCACATCTAAAGGCCAGACAATAGAAAGTTTGAGTAGTTCTTTAAAAAGCTGAATAGAAGGCTAGGTGAGATAATAGAATGATAAGATTTGGGTTTTCCTCCATCCATCCGGCAGTGAGAGAGACTTTGCAAAAAACAGCCCTTTTGCTTTTATCAGACAGTAGTCAAGTCACTTGACTTCAGGGGAATTTTTTCACCTTGGTGCAGTGTTTGCTTGTCAAGGCAGGCAGGCCTTGTGCAGCCAAGGCAGTCCAATTGTAAGCTGAAAGTTGTTCAGAATATTTTGATATTACAGTTATACAAAAAAGGGAGGTCATAACATAAGCTAGCAGTGGAAAGTCCGATTTTTCAGAGCTTTTCCCAATCTACCCGGAATCTGTCAGATGATAGACGTTGCATAGCTTGTGTCATTTTCCCTTTTTGAAATATAAATATTAAAGACATCAAAACCAATTGCATATATCATGAAGTATGAAAATAACTATACAGCTCCAGGAAAAGGAACAGGCTCAAAAAAAAGACCTGAAAGACCTTAATTTTATACCTACCTTTTATACCTGCTACAAAAACAGCTTAGAGCAATTGAAAACAGAAAAATCCTTAGGGAAGGATGTCAACGTTATTTCCAAGGTGACCACTTTATTAGACTCCAAAGTGTATTCATTTTCAACAAAAATCACAAGACATACAAATGAACAGGAAAGTATGGCCCATTCAAAGGAAAAGATTACCAGAAACAATTTCTGAAAAAAAACTGTGGCATACTTACTAAGCAAAGACTTTAAAACAGCTCTTTTAAAGATGTAGAGCTACAAGGGTAGCAGTGTATAAACAATTAAAACACCAGTACTGATAGACACTCTTAAAAAAAAAAAAAATACTGGAGTTGAAAAGTACAGTAATTGAAATGAAACATTCACTAGTAGGTTGAAGAAAAATGCAGTTAAGTTAAAGACATGACAGTGGAAATTATCCGGTGAGGAAAAAAATAGAAAAATGATTAAAAGAAAAATGAATAGAGCCTAAGGGACCAGTGAAATACTGTCAAGAGAATCCACATACTCATG